CCACCCCATCTCTCTCTCACACACACACACACACACACACACACACACACACACACACACACACACACACACACACACACACACACACACACACACACACACACACACACACACACACACACACACACACACACACACACACACACACACACACACATGCATAGGGGCACACTTTGCCTAGTCTTTTTTGTGTGTGCATGCGTGAGTTGGCTGCATGAAAACATTGAATCGCTGCCTTTTCTAATCTTGTCAGATCTCTTTCTGTAGAACTAAGGACAAGAGGGTCTGATCCTGTGTGCAGCCTGGTCTGATTAGTTACATTTTTAGAAAGTTTTTGTATTATTTACGGGAAATCCTCGTCTGTAGTGAAGAATCTGGTTATAAATGCATGGATCCAGAGAACTGTATTTGTTTTGATCCAGTGTGAGGTCCAAAGGTTAAGTGATCAAGGATGAGAGGAGGTTAAATAAAGGCCCAACAGATTTGCAATTCCTTAACTTTTCACTAGATGTCACTGACACCTTACTTTTCTTGAGTCTACTGATGCTCAAGCTTAAATGATGTATTGCCATACGCATAACAAACGCACAACATCTCTCCTGTGTGGAGGATGAGATGGTGCCTATACACACAGCCTGGGGTCACAAAGTTCAGGATCCAATCACAGAGGGCGTTGTTGACTCCTAGGTCTCTGAGATTTTTTGACAAGCTTTGAGGGCACATTAGTATTGACAGCTGAACTGTAGTCAATTAACAGCATTCTTACATTGACATGTTTGGCCTGTTAAGAAAACTGAAGTGGAACCAGTGAGTCAGTGATGAAGGAGGGGATTCAGATTTTGACTAAAAAGCGCTTCATGATGTTGGACGTGAGTGCTACTGGATTGTAGTGATTAAGCTTTGGTCTTAACTGGTGGGCAGGGACACTGGTGGTCTTCTTGAAATATGTGGGGACTACAGACTGGAGCAGTGAGAGTTTGAACATGTCTTTGAAGACATCTGCCAGTTGATTTAAACACACCTCCAGAGCTCTGCCATGCCATAAGGTCCAGGTGCCTTTCGTGGATAAATCCCTTTTGAAAGTATCTGCACACATCTGCCCTTGATATTATAAGTGGGCAGGGGTACTGGGCCTTCTGATTTTCCTCATCTGGGAACTTATTCTCATGCCGTGCATAGAAGGAGTTCATTTTTTCTGGGAGAGATGCAGACATTACCTCAGCACTGCTGGTTTCCCTTTCGTGGTTAAGAGTTCAGACTTCATGTTTCTGGTGTTTGAGCTCTAGTTCATAGATACTGTACCACATTGTCCCTCTATTGACTCTTAGCTATGCTAATAAGTCCCCAAAGCACTACCTAGATTTCCTGTGCTGCTAATCCAAGTTTATTATGAGTTGAAAGCGACTTCCCTGTTGATTTGGTTATGTACAGTATATTTGGTACAAACGTCATGTATGTATTTACCTGTAAATTGGTACCAGTAGGCTTTTTGAGACCAAACAGTTGCAGGGAATCCGCCCACTGGGGAGCTCCCTACAGATGCATTCCTTCAACAGATTTTAGTTTGTTTGCATTTTTTGTTTATTCCAAGGGTTATATGCATGCTCAGTTATACCTGGACTTCGCTGTTGTTTAATTTGCCTGTGTTTTCTTACATTTGTTTTCAAGTTTTGTCTGTTTACCCGGCAGATTTGACAAAGAATTTAAACTGCTTGAAATCACTCACTGTTTTAAGAGCATTAAAATAAGCTACATACATTATAAATGAAGTGATAGAAGTAGGACTGTAATTGGTGTATATTTTACAACTATACAGCACTGTATTGGGTTTGCTAGGAAAGACAGATTTGGTGAAAAAATGTGCATGTCCATGTACGTGTCTCCAAATGTGAAACCATGTTGGAAATGTCTTTCAGGCTACTCCTCTTCCTTTTCAGCGATGTCTTGATGTCTGCGGCAGCAATCAATGCTGCTCATCAGCTCTGTAATTGTGTTTAACGACTAAATAAATGCTTAAGGAATAAACACACCCCTCTGCCATCGCATTGTCCATCTGTAAGTAGGCCTGTGTGTGTGCACACATTTATCTGCTGTTTATGATAATGTAACTTTGATATAATGTGATGAGGATCATTTTGTGCAACAGAATAAACAATATTTACAGGAGCTGTTAGCAGGATGTCTTATGGTTTTAGCAATAACAGTGGCTTGTTGGTCAGAAGACCCCCCAATCTTTGAGAAGGATCTGACCTGACACCCTTGACACATTTGCTTCTTAGAGCTTCTCTCTACATTTTAAAACACTGATCACACACCACAGTGGCGAGCCGTGACTTTTATACCTACTGTAGGCCCACATTGAAAATGACTTAGGCCTACCTTTGATGATCAATTCACTTAAACACAAAGTCCATCCTCCTGTCCTTTTGGATGAAGCACTTGATGGCGGGTCATGCAGCTGATCCTTTGCCACTCCAGTTTATCATTGTAACTCAATCTTGAAAATGACTCGGTTAATAATTTCGCAACGATGTCATCACTATCACTGAAATGAGCCATCATGAACGAACTTATGCTAATCATAAATCTATTGATCATAAATCTATCGATTAGATTTTTGATTCGAAAATAATAAAAGTAGGGTAGACATGTGGATATTATCCGGCTGAACAAAACGTGCATTTATCAAACAGGTTCGTTTACCACAGACCTTATTTCGAGCTATTTTCCAAAATCCTGAGAAATCCCATTGCTTTTTTGTCGAGGGAACCCGAGCACAGCTTACTTCCGGGTTTTAGGACGCGTCACTGCACCACTATAACACACATGCATCAACTTCATAGCGGGCAGAACTTGTCATAAAGTCCACGAAAATAAAGCCCACCCATTTAGAGGGAAGATATGATTGGTCAATTGTACTGTCATTTGACATTACTCTCTCGTTGAGTTAGTGGCTCTTAGAAGCTGGCCCTCTGTGAATTTACAGCAGGACCACCAATCAGCTCCTGTCTTCACAGTAACTCGCAGAGACGGCTTCTTTCATTTAACCCTTCACATTCCAACAGAAACTGAACAGGCTGATTTGAAGGATTTATTTATTTGGAAATGTTATTTTAAATACAATTAAATCAAGTTATTTTGGTCAAACTAATGCAAAATATAACTACGTTTTTTCTACTTACCTCCAAAGGTCTTTAGGTGATTTCCAGGACAAACTTTGGGATCCACCTATCATTTTGGACCACTTGACGTGAGTATAATAATATACTGTTTGTATTTTTGTTTGGTGGCACATTGTTGCACTCGCCAGTAGGTGGCAGGATTAACTGTGTTTGCTTCATGCAAGCTTTATAGAAGAAGTGGCTGTTGTATAGTAAGTGTGTGCCCTTTGCTGCTGTAAATTAGCAGACATCCTATGATGTAAGTATGTTCTTATAACACTAAAGCCATAACACTTGTTGACGTGCAGGTGTCATTCCTAACATACAGCACATGTAGTTGAACTTTTGATCTTGCTTTTTTCAGCATACAGCATTGTGGATGACTCATACAGGGGATGGCTACAGAAGCTGAATATAGCTTAAATGTACGACCTGTGATTTTAACGCCTGTCTTGTGAAATATGTGCCCAGATCTAATCCTGTCAATTGAGTGTCACTCTAAGGACTCAGGTACAGTACAAGCTCTTTAAAAAATGTATGTGAGATTATTTTTAAAAACGTTATCTGCTTTTCCCTGCTGAAAAAAACAGCATAGACCAGCATGGATGTCATGGCTTCAACAGACAGAAATGCAGGCCAGATTGGGAAAGGCTGGACACTACCTAATGGAAAAAATTATGGACATAAACAAGGAAAAAATCCAGCATGGTATATTTAATACTATTATTAAACATAAGCTGGTGATAGATTGATGGAATCATAGAATGCTGGTCACCAGCATAGACCAGCATAGTGTGACGAGCACCAAAACACAACATATGCTGGTCAACACTATGCTGGTCTATGCTGGTTTTTTCAGCAGAGGAAAGAAGACAGATTTTAGAGGTTTGTAATCAAAACTATTAATTGATCAAAACAGTGAATTGCTGGAACCAGGGGCTTCATGCACAAAATGGTTGTCTTGTTCATTGAGCTACTGCAATTGGCTGGTCAACCAGCCTTACCAGCCTTGTTGGTCTAATAAGCTGGTTTTTTCAGCAGGGTTGACTTTATTTTTCAAATAAATCTGAGCAATACAAAAATGTCATGATCTTTGCTTCTAATAAACTATATTTCAGATGATTTGTTGTGCTAATGCTATGTTTGAGATAAATATAAGACGGGCAAAATGTATTGATCAAATAACGAAGGCTCATCAAAAAATTGTTATTTGTAAATAAAGGGAGGATTGCCTCTTTTCCATCAGACATATTGACTTGATACAGCGGTAAGATGTTGTTGTTACTTGTAACATTAACAAACAGCTCCATTGAACCAGCATGCTAAACAACAGGGCCATACATCAAAAGTGTTCACTGTACTGTATGTGTATAGGTGAGGAAGATTTGCATCTGAACTTCTGTAGGGTAAGAATTCAGTTATATTCTATCTTAAATATTCAAATACCTGTGATGAGGTAACATCCCCAAGAGACCTGCAGGCTTAATATGATGTAGTTCCCCTAATGTAATTATTAACCATAAGTTAGTCCTTCATTAAGGCCCGGATATACTGAAATCTGTAGTGCCTGACCTGTTGATAACATCAAGGTCCGAATGGAAACGTTCTGTTCCATTTCATGTGACATAACAATGACCTGCAAAAAAAGAAATAAGCAACCTCACGTGAACACATCTTTTTGGGTTATCAATGCAGGAAAGAATCCAGAAATGTTGTGTGTGTTGAAAGAGCCTCGGGTGTGTCAGAGATTATCACTGTTGAATGTCACTGTGTCACGTAGAGATAGAGAAAAGGAAAAGAGGAGGTGGGGTTTTCTCTCTGGTCTGTCCCTATAAAAGTCTTTCAGTGAAAGTGTCCAAGAGAGAAGCTGGCAACACTGCAGCCTGCTTCTATTCTGGGACATATGCCTGGATCAGTCTGCACAAAGGTAGGAGCACTTCTGACTGAAAAACATGACTATACTTTAACCGATGTTTGCCTTTTTTTATCAGAGGTACTAATATTGATATAAGATTTTAGGTGTATGGTTATGTTAGGTGCATTCTTTCTTCATCCAAGAGCATTGATTTTTGATGGATGATTAAATAAAACTCAATAAACTGAAATCATTGACCAGAGTTAGTACCAAAATTACATATAAATAAAGCAACAGATTTATAATTAAGATTGGACGATTATGACTCATTTTAAAATGTTACACAAAAGTTTTGTATTACTATATAAGGCAAGGCAAGGCATGATAAGAACTGATGAGAAAATTAATGTGCTGCTGAGTGAAGTATTTTCCTCTCTCCTCAGGATATTCAGAAGAATATCAACGGCTCCATTTCTACTGCCTCTTCCTCTCCTGCCATTATCTTAACCGTAAGTCAGTATATATACACTCTATATAAAACTGAATATATGTTTCATGCTGTGTTTTTTTTTAAGCAAAATTCTCTAATGCATTTCTAACCGTAATGATGGCTGCAGGAGCTCCAGCCGCTGATGGCAAACCCAGACCTGCCGCCCGAGTATGAAAACTCGCAGGAAGACAAGAGGGAGGTGGACACTGTGCAGCAAAGGTCCTCAAATGTGCGCGCCTGCAGGACCCGCTTCCTGAAGGCAATCTCCTACTTCTCTGGGGACATGAAGGTGTTTGGAAAATGGATGGAAAGTAAGTGGACTCAAATGTCTTACTTCTAGCCCACACAAAGGCTGTACAGCAGTATTATATTGAAGAGGACACTATTAAAAATGTCTTAGATGATAAAGATAACTTGATGAAGATAGACATTGTTTCTTTGGGCAATACATGTTGAATACCTATTTGTGGTAAACAGTTATACACATCTGAAAATGACTACCTGTGCAATTTGGTTAGGGTTAGGGTTGGGGTAATTACTCCAATGTGCTACATGATTCGTCAGACAGTTACACAAAAATGAATTTATTTAACAGGCATGTCGTTTTTTATATATATCCACACACAATTAGGGCAAGTAAGTCTATGAGTTTCAAAGATCAACAGTGTGCAACATGGTCCCTTGGAAGGCTACAATAGTTTGTTTTAGTGGATGAACCAGTTATCCATGCAATATGGCTTCTGTGGCTTTGGACAAATGCCTGCTGTCACTATTACTGTCAGATCAGATAGTGATTCTTTGAAGAAATAATCTTGCACATTCCCTGGAGGGAAACCCATCGAGCAGCTCTAGGAAAATGTCAACGCTCTCCGTCTCTCTCTTTCCGTCTTCCAGAACAGTTCTTCCTGCTGCAGCTGCTGGACTGGGTTTTGCGTGGAGCTGCTCAAGTGATGTTTGTCAACAACCCTTTGAGCGGCCTCATCATTTTTGCAGGCCTCATCCTGCAGAACTACTGGTGGGCCCTGAATGGCTTTGTGGGCACGCTGTTTGCCACCATCTCTGCCCTTATTCTGCAACAGAACAGGTTAGAACAAATTAATACTACAGAAAATAATGTCTATTAATCACCACGACAGGAATATTTTTTGTACAGCAACTTATTTATTTAAATAACTCTTTATTTAGGGGGTCCATAGCTGCAGGGCTGTACGGTTACAATGGTATCCTGGTGGGTCTGCTGATGGCTTTGTTCTCCCATAAAGGAGACTGGTACTGGTGGCTCCTGCTACCCAACATCTTCATGTCCATGATGTGGTAAGCCACTAGATTGACTTTTGACCAAAAGATTTGTATCGTGAGAAATAGGAGGTAAACGTTCAAAAGCAGATACATTAACCAAAACACATCATGTTTTCATTATGTTGGAGATAACCGTAGACAGTATCAAAGTCATGCTCAAAATGTGCATAATCGACTATAATCATGAAGAGATACAAGCACACATTCTTATAAATCTAATACTAGTGATGTTGCATCCTTGTGTTTTAGCCCGATTGTGTCCAGTGCCATAGCATCGATCAACAGTCGCTGGGACCTGCCAGTGTTCACCCTGCCCTTCAACATCCTGGTGTGTCTCCACATGGCCGCCACGGGACACTACAACCACTACTTCCCCCAAGTCCTCATTCAGCCGCGCTCAGAGCTGGCCAACATCACCTGGGCTGAGATCGACGTAGCCAAGGTCAGTGCCATGCCAGGATATGTTCCTATAGATCACTTAAGATACCTGTGCTGCAACACTGTGTACAGCTTTTACCTTTGTTCTCATGACATTTCAACCCTTGTGTAATGCAGATGTGACAGATTATTTAGCTCAATCGTAAAACATTTCCTGTAAGTTGTCATTTGGATATGTTCTATAGGAGCCATGTATAATTCTCATTACTGTAGTCTGTACATAAGTGTAAATTATGCGGTTGTCAAAGCTGACAGATGAATCAGAGTCGTTACACCGAAGAGGTTTAATGAGGCAACATGATTGGAACAATCTGTGCGTTGTAAATCATGGTGGATCTACAGCTATGTTCTGTCTGTTCCTCTCTAGCTGTTCATGTCGGTGCCCGTGGGAGTAGGCCAGGTGTACGGTTGTGACAACCCGTGGACGGGAGGAATCTTCATTGTCTCACTCTTCATCTCCTCCCCTATCACCTGCGCTCATGCTGTTCTGGGATCTGCCGTGGGTATGGTTTCAGGTGAGAGCTCCGTACATTACTTCAACAGGCGGCCAAATGTGAAAGTCAATCTGTATTACGTATTATTATCAAGTGTTTTTGCTTCCTTACAGTACACGCTTAGAGAATGAATTCAAGCCACAGTCAATATGTTGCAACTCCAAGATGACCCCCTCAAAATCGGTGCAAAATAACCAGGAGGGTCATTATTTATTAAAAAAATCATCTAATCTCAAACTGAATCTGACACTCCCTTGACGGCTTTGATTCAACATTTTGTAGGCTTGGCTCTGGCAGCTCCTTTTGGAGACATTTACTTTGGCCTCTGGGGATACAACTGTGTGCTGGCTTGCATTGCTGTCGGAGGAATGTTTTACACTCTTACCTGGCAGGTGCATCTGCTTGCCATCACATGTGGTAAGTAGACACTTGAAAGATAAATGCACACTACACAAAAAGTTAATCCTGACAAATGATGACATGATATCCAACATTGGCAGAGAGCGACCACACATTTGGGATTCTTATATCCAACTTTTATCTCTCTTTTTCTGCTCTGCAGCTTTTTTCTGTGCATACCTCAGCTCAGCCATTGCCAATATCATGTCCACCGTAAGTAAACATTTTCTCTCACTCCTATTCATATATCAGCAAATAATAAATGCAAGTTACGAACTGCAATGTGATGTTTTTGTCATCTACAGTTTGGTCTGCCATCCTGCACTTGGCCTTTCTGTCTCTCTGCCCTCACTTTCCTCCTTTTAACCACGGAGACCAAGAAGATCTACAAGCTGCCTCTGGCTAAAGTCAACTACCCCGAGAAAAACCTGGCCTACTTCTGGAAGATGAAGAAGCAAGACAAAATGGAGAAGGCTGAGAAAGAGAGGAAAGAGAACAAGGAGCAGAGGAAGGCTCTCAAGGAAGCGGTGATATTGAACGAGAAAGAGCAACTGAGGCTGCATGAGATTAGTTTTGTTTCGCACCCCTGAAAGTCCCGCCCACCTGGGACGTTTGTGTCAAAATCGAAATCAAAAAATGAGGGAGCTGCAGCGAGAGCAAAAGTCTGATCATTGAGAAAGAAGCAAAGAGAACTGCAAACAAAAAGATATGTTAAATCAAAGAAAAAATACTTATAGTTTACATGATTACACAAATGATTTGTTTGCAACTTGTAGTTTTATTTTTTTAATTACATTTATTTAGCTTGACTCAGTTTTTTTTTCTCTTAAACTCTTAGTTTTGCTTGATTCTGAGAAAGTGTTGCTTTATCTTTATGAAACAAAACTAATCCCATAAGGCTGGAGCTTGAGAGATCTGAAGGAAGCAAGGCTACAAGCAAGGAATCAGAGGCGGAAAATGACAAGACACAATTTGAAGACTACACACCTGAGCAACAGCGTACTGAGGAAGAACATAACAACAAAGTCACTCTTGTCAACTAAGTCTAATAATCCAGAGAAAAAAGACACAGATGGAATTTAAATGTATGACAAATGTAAATACGTAGATGTATCTCATCATGTGCTCCTTCTCTGGATATGGCCGTTTCCAATTTAAAATCAGATTGTATCACGCTGCAGCATGCACTTCTTGATTCCAAACTGCTATTGAACAGTAAGAAAACCAAAGCAATGCTTTTTGCTCCCAAGTCAGCGTCCTCTTGCCTCTCCATTGACACCCTTGATGGCGTTTCTGTTGAGTTTGTTGATACCTACAAATATCTGGGCTTTTGGTTGGACAGTAATCTGAACTTTAAACACCATATTGAAGTTTTAACAAAGAAATTGAAATTCACTCTTGGCTTCCTTTTCAGACTTAAATGTTGTTTTTCAATTTCATCAAAGGTTGGTCTCTGGCTTATTCCTGTCCCAGCTGGACTACGGTGATACCATTTATAGATTTGCCTGTCCCACTGTTTTGGCCAAACTTGACCCACTTTACCATGCTGCACTGCGTTATATATCAAATGCACCCTATAGGACTCATCATTGCACACTGTATAGCCTAACTGGATGGTCCTCACTTACTATGCGTAGGATGCAGCACTGGTTTTTATTAATGTATAAAGCCATTTTAGGTAAGCTTCCACTCTACATATGTGCCAGATTTGCCCCAGTTTGCGACTCTTACAACCTCAGATCCAGTGCCTGGATACGGTTCCAGGTACCTACTGTGCGGACTGAGGCTGGAAAAAGGAGTCTATGGTCCTTGGTCTTGGAATGACCTTCAATCACGCCTAAAACTGATGGCACTTGTCTCAATAGCATGTTTTAAATTGAAGTTGTCTGAAGTCCTCACCACCAGCTGCTCTTGCAGTAACAAGTAGTGTACCTTTCTTACTGTCCTAATGTGCACAATGTAGTGACTGCTTTTTCGTCTTTTGTTTTCTTAGTTATGTTCTCTGTATTTTATATGTTTGTGTTATGTGTTATGTGTAACGTTGCTGCCTTCTTGGCCAGGTCAGCATTGAAAATGAGATTTTATCTCAATGTTTTTATCTGGTTAAATAAAGGTTAAATAAAATTAAAAAATCTGTTAAGAGTCTTTAAAAAAAATATGGTATTTGTATACCAGTTTCAGTTGAACTGATTTTGAGACACAAACTACTTTTTTTCTCTGTAAAACTTTATATTTGAAATGTATGTTTTTATAAATAAATTATTTTATAATAATCATTTGAGTCAATGTTGTTTTATTCAATGCTGTGTGAAAGTAATGAGTCAAATATAAAGTAATTACAATTAAGATAAAATAAATAAGATAAAACTTTATTGATCTCAACTTGGGAGATTTTCTTTGAAATAATGGCATGATCCGCTATTTTTCCTGTCGGAGAAACAGATCCCATATATCATTTAGTTATATGCCACATGTATGTATCCAACAAGCAAACAAATACTAGAAATCAATATATAAATCATGCAGACAATATATATATGAACCTTTTCTTATAAAGGGCTATTATACTGAGACAGCTAACTGTGTCTTTGTGGAAAAGGTTAAATGTATGTTGGACACAAGCCCATATGTAGGTGCTGTCTTCCTTGATCTCAGGAAGGCTTTTGACACTGTTGACCACCAAGTGCTCCTTACAAAGCTGACTTATTTCAATTTTTCGGCAGATTCAATACATTGGGTTAAGTCTTACTTATCAAACAGAAAACAGTGTGTTTTGGTCAACGGTACCAAATCCCCCTACCTTGTCAACCCTGTTGGGGTTCCACAAGGTTCCATTCTTGGACCATTACTGTTTTCACTGTACATTAATGACTTGCCTAATGTATGTCCTGAGTTGAATGTGCAAATGTATGCCGATGATGCGGTCATCTTTGTACAGGGGAAAAATACTGAAATAATCTCATCCTGTCTCTCAAATGCTTTGGACAAGGTTCAACACTGGCTGAACAACATTTGCTTACAGTTAAATAAAAAAAAAAAACAGAATGCATGATGTTCAGTAAACGACCAGTCAAAATTGAAGGATCCAATGTGTTTTTAAACGGAGCAGAATTAGAACTAGTCCCCCACTTCAAGTATCTTGGAGTCATAATGGACTCGAACTTGACTTTTAAGAAACATATTAAGAAAGTATCCAATAACATTAAATTCAACTTGCAACATTTTAAACAAATTAGACCTTTCTTAACTGTCAATGCTGCAAAGTCATACCTCCACTGTATGATTCTATCCCACATTGAATACTGTTTGACAAACTGGTCGTTTGCTTGTGCCACAAACCTGAAACCAATAGAACAACTTTACAAGAGAGCTATCAAGGTGTTTGACAGAAAGCCAAATTCATACCACCACTGTACCATCCTTGAAAAACACAATTTCTTGAGTTTTGACAATTTTAAGTCTTTTAAAAGTATGTGTTTTTTTTATAAATGTTTACATGGACTGGCCCTCCCTCCCTTAGGGGAATTCATCCACAAAAAACACACTGGACGCTGCACTAGGTCAGAAACCAGAGGAGACTGTGAAGTCCACCGTAGACGGACCACTTTCGGTCAAAATGTTCTATCAATTAAAGGCAGCTCTTTGTGGAATAGCCTCCCAACTGAGTTACGGGATTGTCCCACTTTGAACAGTTTGGTTGAGAAACAAACAAACGTGCAATCACCGCTAAATGCACTTTAACACAGGGGCATCTCCTCTTGCACTTGATGTACCGTAGCCCTTTTATCTTCTCCTGCACTTTATATTTCGTAGCTGCTACATTGTACTGCCATGTGGTTAATGCTTATATGCTGCTCATGCTCTTTCTGCATATCATGTATTTATTTTTGCTATGTATATAAATGTCATGTTCTTAAATGTTGTATGTGAGGGACAACGGACGGAAATTAGCTCAAAGCTAAAATCCGGCATGTTTACGTTTTAAAGCATTATTTGTTTTAAAGGGCCCATGTCATGGCCATTTCCACTGATCATAATTACATTGTTGAGGTATACTAAAATAGATTTATACTGTGCAATTTTCCAAACTCACATTGGTTTCGCATACAGCATCTCTGTCAAGTATGTGTATTCAGCAGTATTCACTCTCTCCACTAAACGACTCGTTGGAGCTCTTGCCCCCCCCCTCCCTGTGAGCCTAGTGTGCTCCGATTGGTCAGCTCGGCCACTCTGTTCTGATTAGTCAACCACCAGAGAGGCTCCGCCCGCTTTTTTCGGCTCGCTCTCAGCGGAACATCAGTCTTATAATGGCGTCGGTACAGCCGTATATTTTATACGCTAACTAACCGAACTGTACCTACAACTGTTGTTATAGAAGAGTGTGACGGCCCCAGGGCCTTTGTGCAGGTGTGTTGCAGGTCTTACGATGGGGTGGAGCTGAAGAGGCTAATCAGCGCGATCACGGACACCTCCGGAGCCGAGGTGCTATTAAGCCCAGCTGCCCGGAGTCACACGGCGGCCCGTCTCTCTCCAAAGCGGCTCGGCGATCCTCTCCCCTCGACCACCTATCTCTGCATTTACCACAATAAATGTGCCGTGGTTTTGTAAACTCGTGTATGTCTCCTTGTCTTTCCGTTGTGGCCTACGAGCCGGTCATAACAAAGAGTAAGTTATTTTTACCTGTAATAAACTACTACTGTTTGATGAGAAATCAAATCATGGTTTGCTATATATGAATGATATGTTATAGGAGCAAATAATTCAGGGAAGAAAGGATAGGCCTACTAAGTATTTCCATTAAACTTTATTTTTAGAAATGTACAAAATGAACATAAATATACATATACACACGGTATATCATCCATTCCTCCCCGCATCTTGCCTGGGCGCAGCCGGTGCTTTTTAGGACGAGGCCTCAGTGTGGTAGTCCCGTCCCCGTCATGTATTGTCCGCCAGGATCTGGCTGGACGAAATCAAATGCAAATCACAAAATATTAGAGAAACTTAGTTGTTTTAGATTAGTTAGTAGTAGTTGTGGTAGGAGTGTGGATCTATCTAATCCATCTAATGAACAGCTTGCCTGCTAACCTAGCTTTCTTGTTTACTTTGGTAGCTAACACGATATGAACGCTAGCTCGGAGGAACGGCAACTATAATGTAGTGTAATAAAACTACTATGAACAAAAGCTAGTGGTTCATATTAGGCTAGCAATAACGTGTTTATAATTGCAATCTTATACGGGTATTCTGCTACGTTCGGTCATACATTGTAACTTGCATGAATACATTGTTTTGCGCTAGCATGTATAGCTAGCCTCGTTAGCTATACATGCAGTATGTACATGTACTGTCACAATGTACGGTAAATCACCCGGAGTATACTGTATGAGTATTCCGTGTGTGTGACTGCAGACATTCTCCTGCCATGACAAACATGTAAGGCCATCTGCTGACATTGTAGTTGATATATTTAAACGCTAGCAACGTAGCATAACACAAATGTTTTTCCGAGCAAACCCATGTCTAGCTCCGTTGGTTAGATCGGTAGCATACACGCTACGCCAGCTATAATGTAATTACGTTTCGCGACTGACCGCACGGCAAATCACCCGGAGTATACTGTCAATAGGTATTTTGTGTGTGAATGCAGACATTCTCCTGCTATGAGATACATGTATGCAA